GTTCATAAGTCGATAAAATAGTGCTGCTGCTCATGGTTCCGCCATTCTCAATCGACATACTTCGAAGGAGTTTTCAAAATTGGAGCTCCAAGTTCAGCCCTTTGTCCATTCAATACGTGGTATCGATTTCGTTATACTACAGCGACTTCTCAACTGAAATTTTCCCTTTATTTTCTTTCGATTTGAGATTTCAAGTAATCCTATTCAATCCAGCTGAAAAAATGAATCATCCAGGAGTGTATTCATCCATACTTTTATTACAGTGGGATTTTCGAACTATTTTTAAATAAATCAATTATAAATCTACTGCTTACGAAAATTTAATTTTTAAAAAATTACAAAAAAATTTATCCACGTATTTTATTTCAATTTATTTAATTAATTTTTTAATTAACTAGACTCGCACATCTCGTCAAATCGTTACTTTTTAATTTTTCAATTAAGTTGTTTCAACTACTTCTGTATTGATAAAATTTTGTTCTTAAAAAACTGGTGTACTTCTTTTTAATTATGCTAATTGTGCTATTAATTATAGAATCAATAATTATAATACTTCTGATAAAAGCAGGAGTATAATTCTATCAGGGTAGTTTTTATTATAATTATTAATCATATAATGAGGTAATTTTTATATTCCGTACAAATTTTGGTTCTTACACAGCGTACCATTACTTAAACACTCGAACAGTCGCACAATAAAAACAAAACGTCGTGACACACGACCCCAACATCATTTGCATAAATAAATCAGAAACGAAATCGCGGACAAAATACGTACCTGGGCATGCTCTAGTACGAAATCGCAAACGTGCCACTGTAGAGTTATAACACATATATGTATATACCTATAGACGAGGAGAGAGCGGGTGGTGGAGTGTCGGAACGATAACGAGAAAATCGATTGCACCACCCTCCCATATGCATAGACTTGTGCTGGAACGAGACAGACTCATTCGCGAAAGCTTCCGACGAGGGAGAGAGAGCGAACTTTCGGAAAATTAAACCGGCCGTCCTTCTCCCCTCGTCCCACCGCGTAAGTTTTTGAATATACACGTATTAAGTTTATTCGGTGCAAAAAGTTTGTGTGCCCATCGCATTCATAGACGGATCTCGGCGTGTGTTTGGTCGGAGCTTTTGTTTCGAGCTTTGTTTCTTTGGTTATTCGTGAAGCTTTTTCCCCCCCTCCTTTTTTTTGGCTTCGTGTGGGTTTGTTGGAGAGAGAGAGGGACAAACTTTTGTTACGAGTATGAAATTGAGCTTGTGTTTTTGGTCTCCGTTCGGCTTTGTGGATTTACATTGTTTTTATCGATTCTATTGCAGTGGCTACGCGCGTTGTTGTTTTTGTAAGGTTTGTGGTGTTACGAATACGTCACCATTTTAAATTTGAATGTACGGCAATGTTTTTGTTTTGGTTGCACTATAATAATAATATTTTTGAATAAAATCTTCTAAAATTTTCTGCTGCTCAAAGCTTGGGCTGAAAATAAAATTTCAATCAACTCGTGTTTTAATTAATGCGTACTCGTAAAGTTCTCATTCATTTTAATTTTAAAAATTTTCTAAAGATTAAAAAAAAGTATAAAATAATCTTATCAAACAGTAAAGTAATAAACTACATAAAATTATTTAAGTGGAAAAGTAAGAAAACTGTCAGACTCAAGTTATTAAAAGTAAATACTTGCGTCATGAAACCGCAAGCATAATTTTTTTTAAACTACGCACGCGAACTGGGTCAGCTAAACTTCCTAATATTGATTTTCCTATCCTTCCATATTACCCCCAATTGAATTAAGCTCACTTAAATACATTATTGTTGTATAGTTAATGTCGATGACAAGTTTGCTTACTTCTCGAGAAAGTTTTCTTACAGTTCAAAATTAAAAAATAAATAAGTTCATCAAAGGTTTCTTCTGTACTAAATTAAACAGTTATCATATATAAATTATAAANAAGTTTAAAAATCTTAAAATAATTACACTCATGTCTGACTCAGTCACGGGGTCGATAATGGTTTTTTTATTAGCGTATGCACAGATGAACTTTTATAAAATTAGCAAATCTACTTTTCTGCTAAAACGTTCGTAATTTTTTAATGTATTCTCGCGGTCATCGGCATCTGACATTACGATTCAAATTATTTTGTAACGAACTCAATTTCAGTTGATAAATAATTTGAGAAACAAATTTACCTCGCACGTACAAACTCGCAATTAAACTCGTCAGAATTTTACAGTTGAATAAACAATTCATTAGCTGTAATGTAAATTTGGGTGCTATTTGCATAAATAACAGTGAATTTCAAATGGAACAGAAAGCCCGGCTCGCAGAGCCATTAGCTTGAATAATGATACTCGAATATTGTTTCGAGCAAATTAAATGTAAATAAATTTTCGTTCTCACTGTAATTAGTTATCCGCACTTTAATTATGATTACCTTTGCCCGAATAGACAAAAATAACAGAGATGCACATGTATACATTGCAAATCATAAGGAGTACTCGAGCAAACGAAGACAATTTTTTTTTAATGGACCCTAAAAATTTTACCATACCATATGGCGTACCTGCAGTAGATTTCCAACAAATTAAACACTTGCGCATCATCCACCGACTATACCCCAAATGAGAGTTGACTACTCCCTGTTATTACGCCCGTCGCTGTGTATACCTAAACCCTGATGTATGCGCTTGTAATTACATCAAATCATGTGCTCACACACACCACGAAAGAAACAGTCACGTCAAGCTGTTCAAGGGGTAGTTGACAGTAGGAGACATTTTCATGCTCACGGGGATAAATATAAGCGAGGACGTCGCGGGAGCCTCGACGCGTGATTTTTGCTCTTCAAGCTTGGGTTTTGTTTGCCATTGGCGTTCGTTCGTTTTTGAGCTTCCTCTTTTTCATCGCTCGAGCATTGAATGTTCATTGTTACATTTTTCCAGGAAAATGGTTTGATTTTCATCGAAGTGCGTATATACCGTGCACTTGTACTATTGTTACGTATGTTTTTTCGGTCGATGGTTTTGTAGGCGGTGACCCGGAAAAATGTATAAAAATGATAAAAGGAATAACAGAGGAGCTCGAGTTCAGCGGGAAGACCCGAGTTGGTTTATGAAAATCGAATGTTCCGGATAAGGGAAAGACTCATCGGTGAATGATTTTCCGATAATTTCCATTACTGCTCGCTCGCGCTCTCACCGGTAGTATCATTATATGGACTGCAAATAAAATGATCGGTTCGCCGAACTCTCGTGTGTTTAATGCTTTACCCGAGCTTTTCTGCCATTGCGATGGACCAAATCATCGTGATGGACGTAGTTGTGTAATATATTATTATTATTATTATTATTATTTTTCAACCAAATATAAAATAATGTGGTTATTGAATTCCATGTAATTTTATGAAAAAGCCATGCGATGTTGATAAAAAGCCAAAAAAAAAAATTCATAATTAGGTAACCGAGCACTTTAGAATAGTGGCAATGAAGGAGTCGATTGGTAAATGTTTCTAATTGAAGAAAATAACAATTAATACCATTTATTTTAAACATCTTTCAGCATAAAAATTATCTCGTTTTACTTTTTTTAATTAGTAAAGTATGTTGAGTGACTGATACTTTCAGTTATTATACAAATTTAATAACCATATTAAAATAAACAAATACAAATATTTGATTAAATACTTTTTTCAATATCAAAGCTGAAAATTAATTCATAAGTAAGATCTGAATGTCTTAGTTGCAAATGAACATCTACTGTACAATATTTGCGCAATAAATTAATATTTGAAAAAAATTACATAAAAAACAAAAGTTACGTATAGAAATGAAACACAAATGAATTACTAAATTCATGCATCAGAAAATCCAGATTCGACAGTAATTTATTGTTTGAATTATTTTTTTTTATTTAAAAAAAGTTACGAATATCATTAAAGAGTTATGCATTAACAACGATATCAAAAAAATGATTAATGTTGACAAAAACCCGTTAAAGCAGC